CCTTTTGTCATCACTGGAGCATGCTGTAAGGCCTATATGTACAAAGCGTTCTTGAAGCACTGAAGAAGCCCTAAAGCTTGGCCCTTATGTCCCGTCAAAATAGCATCAAAGTAACACAGGCCGTGTTGCATGTCCTGTCATCATCCCGAAACATTTGGAATGTTTGGAGCTTACCTTGAACATCTATGAGGCTTGGTAAATATGATGAAAGGTTTTCGTATCCCAACAGCTCTCTTGTGATTCAGAGCGTCCGGTTTTAAGGATGCACAAGGTTCGAAACGCTGGCCCATGTAGCGTCTACAATCATGATCTCGCTGATGCAGCTATAGACCCTTGTTATAAGCTCACTCTCCGCCATCAAAGGCTGCTCATTTGTGATTTCACGACAAGAACTACATACACGAACTGCTCTTCTGACCCAAGGAAAAGGTCCCCAAGTCGCTTTATGTGGCAGCTGCAGTTGCGTTTACGAATACCAACACTGACAATTATTGTCAATGCTACCACTGCCGTTACTGCTATCCGTACTGCTACTGATACTGGTGGCACTGCCGGTGCCGCGACTTAATCAGTGCGGCTGCGGCTTCCCGGTGCTGCAGGTACCCCGTCCGCTACCTCTACGGCTACCGTTGCCACTCCCACTCCCAATATCAAAAGTACTGCCTCTGGAAAGGCTACTGCGTCAACATTCCCTTCATCACCACCATCGCCATTTGAAGCCTTGAGATCCTAGAGGGACCCCTGATTGTTGGAAACCGCCAATTGTTTGCCGCGGCTGTTTGGTGTTCAAGGGTGCTGCTTTTTTGCACCTTTCTAAGTCAGGATTTATTCATAATGTGGCTTGCCTGCAGTGGCCCTCCCCATCTGATCATTTATATCACGAGGAGTTGGCTTGTACACAGCTTTTTCAATGCTGCATGCCTTGATCCCTGGCTCACCTGAATACACAAGGGTGCGCATTCCTCAGAGTTAGTACTTCTGGAACTTCATTATGAATGCGAAGAGTATGTCCCCAGTGCCACGCATGCAGTGCAGTTCCCGTCCCATTTTCAGTTGACAGCTGTTCAGGCTTCCAAGGCTTCAATCGGGGTTAGGCAGCCTTCCTCTTGCATGAAGCATGTGCAGCAGTTCTACCCACTGAACAGTTTCCAGAGTACGTCACCTCAACCAAGGCATGTCTGTGTGTGCGTGTTTCTGATACATGGGAGATGTGGCTGTCCGCAGTGCTTGGCAGTATGATGCCGCCATGCAGTGTTTGTTAAAGGTTCATATATGTCAATGTAAATTTCCTCCTAAGTACACAAAGCCCAATCTCGACAGCCACGAAGTTGCCCGACACCATATGACCTGGAGTTTGTGCGTTCCCTTTTGCCAAGACGAGTTGTCTAAGGAACCATGCTCGGCCTTTCGGCTTTGCTGTGGGCCTTAGGGCCCTGGGGTGTGGCAACAGTGGGACCTGCTCGTCAGTCCCTGATACGCCATGAGGCAGGACGTAGGGCTGCTACATGAGGGTTAGACAAGAGGCATGCGCCGGGCTCAGGGTTCCAGGTGCCTGTGAAGATTTTGGTGCCTTCTTGGGTCCCTCTATCGTGGTGAAGTGTAGAGTCCTCCAGACCCCTCCAAAGCCCCTCCAGATGTGCGAGAACTTTTTTCTTCTGGTGCCTGGAGACACTATGATTTGGAGACTGTATAAGCCGAATGTATATATAATTTCAAAGTCAACTAGTATGTCCAAGATCATCGAAACAACGCCAAAAGGGACCACGACTCCAAGAACCCCATGCATAGTCTCTGAACCTTAGGCCATAAATTGTAGACCATGAACTCTCAATATGGACTACCAGGTTCTGGCCAGCGGTGCGCTTCCGGCTGTCAACCACCAGGTCAGAGCCGCAGTTTCCTCGCTAAGGCTTCAGGGGCCTAGAGTATGTTGGGGACCCCTTTTCCAAGGCTTACATGGTCCCTTAACATGTATTACACGGGGGGCCCCTAAACCCTAAACCCTAAACCCTAAACCGTTGGGGTCGCTGTATTCGGCGCTGGCTTGCTTGGTATTTTCCCACGGTATACCCCTCTTTAGGGTTTACATAGGGTTTAGGGTTTAGGGTTTAGGGTTTAGGGTGGGGATTATGCATGGATCACATAGGGTTTAGCAGGAGATTGCCCCAATAATGGAGAACATGGAACACAACATGGAACATGAAAGGGCAACCGAGCTTGTATTGGTATTAGTAAGACAACAAGAGCGTTTTAGTAGTCCTATCTCCAGCAATAGGAACAACCTACAACGGTCACGTGCTAGCTGTAAGGTCCTCATTGTGGGGGTAGGGGTTACCAAAATCCTGTTATAAACCCTAAGCCCTAAACCCTAAACCCTAAGCCCTAAACCCTGAATCCTGTTAGTGTTGTTGGGTGAGACTGTGGAGGCTTTCAAGTTTCAACGCAGCCTGGTCGGCTCGCTGCCACCCCCCAATATAACCCCAATATAACCCTAATATAACCCCAACATGACCCCAACATAACCCCAACATAACCCCAATATAACCCCAATACAACCCTAATATAACCCTAATATAACCCTAATACAGAATCGTTATCTTGGCAAAGCTTACCCACGTTCTTGTCTTCCTAGTAACACTCCTTCTTTATCGCTTGGCAGATTCAACTTTCAGCTCGAGAGCTCAGACCTGATGCAGAAACTGACCCCAAGCCCTAAGCGACCCCCATGTAACCCCTAGATACCCCTACATAACCCTTACAAAACCCCTGTATAACCCTTACATAACCCCTATATAACCCTTATATAAACCCTATATACGCACATTGAAAGAAACATTGGCCCTTAAGCAACTTGTTATCACATCAGCCCGTCTTGCGTCCGAAGGATACATCCTCATTGCAGAGTGCCTGCGTGGATTGCTGCAACGATGGCACATCTTATGTACCGTGCCTGGATGTGGAGGCACGGACAGGGTTCAGGCTGTAGTCTCAGGCAGGAAAGGGCATAGTTTCGTGTTCAATTTTAGTTCTACCATGGTATAGTATTCCAAAAGCTACCGAGGACAAGGGCTTTCAGGATGCCTGCTTTCCGCTGTAAAGGAGATGCAGCAGTGATAAACGGGGGGTAAGGGGGGGATTCTTAGGGTTACTGTAGTACATATTGGGGTTATTTGAGTTTATAAAGATGGTGGGAAAGAAAATGGAAGCTTCTGTATATAATAGGGTTAGGTAGAATTCCATGTGCAATCTCTCATCTCTCACGGATGGCATTAGGCCCATCACAGTGTCTATGATCTTTCAGTATTTTCAGCAAACACGGCAGTGTTTTTTTTTGGATGGGCAGAGGTGTCGAATAACTAGCCTACTTCGTTCAGAACCCCTATGTAACCCCAATATATAGACGTTTAATAATGCAGTAACTTCCATTGTCTTTTCCATTGTCTCAATATTACCCAACAATAAGCCCGCCCCAAATGAGCTATAGTCTAAACTCCTTAAAGGGGGTTATATCGGGAATTATACCCTAAACCCTAAACCCTAAACCCTAACTATTGGGGTTATTTGGGGGGATACCTGGAGTTTAGAGAATGGCCTCCATCTCAAAAGTCAACCCTGAACGTGGAGCCCCTGGACGCCAAAAGCTTAAAGCCTATCCACACGGTTTAGGGTTCAGGGTTTAGGGTATTCCGCGCAATAACTTTGAAACATCATAGACAAAATTTCAACACTCCCTATATATTCCTTATTCTAAGCCCAGACAAACTTGCATGTTTCGGGGGCACCGAAATCCATCCGTATATCCAAACACCGAAACTTTGCACTTTGGCAAGGCTTGCGCCGCGCAAGCACCTGCACAGGGAAGGCCTGCTGGAATTCCAATGTATACCCCTCTGTCTGTAGGGTTTTTACAGCTATTATGTAGGTGATTATACAGGCATGACATTGCCCCAATAATGGAGAATCAAATGGAGCAGAAAATGGAAGATGAAATGCAAACTGGGATTCTATAGGGGTTCACAGGGGTGATACTCTAAATCCTGCATGATCCTTAAGTGCTCTAAGGCTTTGGAAGTATGGTTAGGGGATGGGATTCAGGGTTTACTTGAAGATCCATGGGACTTGGTGAGTACTTATAGCCGGGCATATAACTGAGTCTAGGGTTGATAACCCGCCTTATAATTGGGCTGACCCCTACATGGGTGGTCGTCAAAATTATGGTCCTTTTTTTACGTCCCTATTATAACACGGCACCTAATATTTTAAGTACCCAAGGGATCATTATTTTTGACAACCACCCACATGGCCAGTCCAGGAGTCTAAGCCCAGATCTAAGTGGTTATGAAGCCTCATGCAACTCCTAAACCGGGGTTGTAATCACTCTTATTCTTTTCATTGCGCCACTTATCCCAACCATGAGCCCACCAAGTGTAGCATCTTGAACTCAGATGGACCATTGTCTAAATTCCTAGTATCCCCCTTTATAATGGAGAATCAAGTGGAAAAGAAAATGAAAAATAAAATGGAAACTGGGATTATAGAGAGGATTATATGGGTTATAGTCTAAACTCCTAGTATCCCCCTTAAGAACCCCTATAGTAGTCCCCTATATCATCCCCTATGTAATGCCCTTTAAGGAGTTTATACTATGGCTCAGATGGGAAGAGCTTTTGTTAGAAGCATCCTTTCCGTGAATGCAAAAGGTCTCATCTATATAAACGTCTCTGAGGAATTCATCCTGCGGTTGCTATCCTTTTATGAGGTTTATGGATCTGTTCCTATGTTTTGATGAGTGCTGCGTAGTCCGTAAGTGGGGCTTTCCGGAGTTTCGTCTGAGGTTGCCACCCCCAAGATTAAGGCATAGGTGCGAGGGTCTGAAGTACCATGAGTCGAGGGAATGCAGCCTCTGCACACTGCGACTAGTGCAATCTTCAAATCTCCTTGGATGAGCATGGAGTACACTTCTTTTTCACTGTCATGGACACGACGCGGATAGGTATGCCATGATCTTCTCCTATGTGGGCAAATTCGCGCCAACTGTGCTGCACTACTTGGACTCTGCGAGAGCGGCAGCACTTGCAGCCAATCAGGCCTGTAGCGAAGCCCTAAAGCTTAAGCCCTAAACGACATGTCAACCTTCTCCCTCTTCACCAGTCCCTATTCTCCGTAAGTCCTTTATATTCCTATACCCTTATTCGGTAGTTTCCCAAAAGAAGGGGATCCCAAAATGGGTACCCCTAACTTTGGGAAATCCCTATACGTTCCCTTTGAACCCGAAACCCTAAACCCTGAAAGGACCCCAGCATCCAAACCGTGTCACAATAAACATCTCTGAAGACGACGCGGTCGGAGATCATCCGTAGGCTTCCTTAAAGCCTCCATCTGCGCAGTATTTTTATTTGGGTATATTATGGTACCCAATAGGGTTAATAGGGTTTAGGGTTTAGGGTATATCCTCCTTTTGGAGTATATTTTTATATCTGGAATACAAAAATTCTACTAATCTGATGCAATTGGCCTGGGTGCGACGGTGCGACCTGATGCTTCCTTAGGCTATGGCGTAGATGTAAAAAGTTGTTCCAGGATTCAAAATGAGATGCATCAAGCCCATGGCGTACTTCTATTGCATGAGTGGTGTGGAAGGAGCTCAAAACAGCCCGGAGCAGCACAGCACGAAGACAATCCATTGTTGGCGGGGCGGTTTTCAAGGTTTTGGCGGCGACAAGAGAAGTATTGTTGGTAGAGGACATCTCACGCCACCTAGGAAACAGGGTCCCTCAGCTAGAGCAAGTCCTAAGATTTCAGGTGACTAGCCTGCGTGATTCGGTTCCTTCCATCTCGCCAGTAGTGACCTCCCAAAATTATGGGCCGCTTTTGGTTATGGATTATATTACGGCACCTTATTTAGGGGTACCAAAATGGGACCCCAATTTTGGGAACTACCCATGTGCTTCCCTGAAGGCCGACATGATACTCCTGATGACCGAGTCCGATGCGAGCACCATCAGCCAATCTCTGAAGCACAGCTTGACCAAGCAAGGCGGATGTTGGACAACTTGACATTGACCCTGAATCCACGCTAAATATGAGACTGAGGATGTCATACCCTAAACCCTAAACCCCTGAACCCATGGCCTTTTCCCCAGACCTTCCCTACTTACCACAGACCAGAACCTGTGGGTCCCGAAGTCTGCAGCAGCACGATCTGCAATGATACGGATTTACAGGGTTTAGGGTGTAGAGTTTACGGTTTAGGGATTAGGGTTTAGGGTTCATGTGATTTAGGGCTTCGGTGGTGAGAGGTTTCAAGTATTACATGGAAATCATCAGAGGGAATTTGCCAGCAAATGATGTACAGCCAAGCATTTAGCAGTGGAAGATCCTCCCCCCAAAACGATGCTCGTTGTCTTGTCACCCAGGCTGAACGTATGGGCTACTAATAACCCTAAACCCTAAACCCCCCCTATACTGGCTACCTAATCCTGAGTTCTCGATCCCCATCCGTAGGCACCCCGGCCCCCTAAAACTCTTAATCCCTAAGCCCCCAGTAACAGTTTATATTAGGGGTCCTATTAGGGGCTATATATACCCATATTAAAATTATTATCCAACTGTTACTGAGAGGGGGCAGTATCCAACCTAAACCCTAAAAACCCTGAACCCCTAAAGTCTTCAAAAAACACCTAGGTGTTTCAACTCCTGAAGCCGAAGCGCCTGGAGGTGTTCAGCTGCGCATCGTTGACTGGACCCTTCCTCCCGGGATGCGATTCACAAAGGCCAGGCTTCACTTGGAGGGGAGAGTCATGGGGACTTAGTAAGTAGGTTAATAATGGAAAACAAAATGGAAACTACTATATTACTTAGGGTTTAGGGTTTAGGGTTGGGTGGTCATGGGGACTAAGGTTTAATGGAAAAGAACATGCAAACTTCTATCTATATGTATATATATATATGGTTTAGGGTTTGGGGTTTGGGGTTTAGGGTCATGGGGACTTAGTAAGTAGGTGAATAATGGGGATAATTTGGTTTATTATATGGGTTTATAGGGGTTATTAACCTACTTACCTTTCCCCATGACCCTCCAAGTAGGGTTGAGGTTTTTGGGCCTAGTGAACCCTCGTCCGCCAGGTGGCCCTGTATGCCTGCAAAACTCAATAATATTTGTTGCGAAAAGGCACGCAGAATTCTCTTGTGAACACATTTAGAAGGCATTCTACGGTGAAGATCGGTGAAGTGATTCCATAGTCTGTCCATAGTCTGGGCTCAGGGTTTAGCATCTATGATACTGAGGCCGTATATAAGGGGCTATATGGGGGTTTATGTAGGGGTTAAGCAAGATATAGGGCTACCCAGGGTAAAAATGGAGGAGAAGTTGGAAATTGCGAAAAATCAGGGACACTATGGAGCTTACTTAGGGGTTAAGTAGAATACAGGGTTATTTAGGGTAAAAATGGAGGAGGAGTACTAATGGAGCTTGTGGTGTATGATGCGTTCTTGACTCTGAGCAGATGTGTTCAGGTCAATGATGTGTTATGGGAAAGGCTCATTGTTAGTATATACCCTATCAGAATATAGCAGTTTCAATTTTCTTCTCCATGAAATATATACATACACTTTCTAACACTTATATAATTAACCCCAGTATATCCAGTATATATCCCCATGTATAAGACCTCAGATCCTGGACCCAAACTCTCCTAGCCCATGGTGCCAAGATTGCCACTGAAATTTTGTGTTTGAACTGCTCCCGAACTGGGGGTGAGGAAGCAGCTTCACCTACTGGTGGTCTAGTAGGGAATAAGAGAATATAATCCCCAGATGATGTATTCCTTTATTCCCTACAAACTCAGCAAGTTGAAAGCAATCCCCCGAACCAGCGATGAGGAAGCAGTTCTAAAGGGTTTTGAACTTACATGAGTTCATCAACGCGTTAACAGTCATTCCCGTCTTTACGGAAGCTACTGCCAAACATGTCCCGACATGTAAACAGTGAGGACGAAAACTGGTGTGGCCAGAAGGATTTCATCCGGCTCCATGCGCTAGGACACACGTGCTTGCCTTGCCTTGCCAGTCGGGAGTGAGCAGGCGTTTCTCAAGATTTCCATCCCTTTTTTTCTGGGAATCCTTGTAGCAAGTGTTAGCCCTCTGGGCTACTTGGTGATTTCCCAACATAGGGGAATCCAATATAGACCCCAAAACACTATCCATGTTCTGGTTCTGGGAAAGCCCTAAACCCTATATTCTCCACTATTGTAGTTTCTTTCCATCACTACTTTATGAGCTATAGTCTGAACTCCTGAAAGGAGGGTATGTAAAGGATTATATAGGGGAGTATTATAGGGTTTAGTCAGGGGGATGCTAGGAGTTGAGACTATAGCTCATATATCCCCTACATAACTCCTATACTAAATGATATTATATTATAGTCAGCCCCTAAATATTCATCCCCTTATATAAGCCCCCAGTGTCATTTTGGAGAGCCTTCAGTTTGGTCGTCCAGACAAGATGATGGGTACGTACCTCTCCAGAGTTGTGTGGGGCTGATTGTTAGCAGACAAGTTCAAGAGCCATCGCGCGGGCGGCCTTTATTAGATTGTCTTGCTGGTAGGGGACTGAAACTTGCGCAAGCATTGGCAGGGTGTGATTTGCCTGTCGTATTCTGATTCTAGCGATTCTGGGATGGTGTTTGTGTATTTTTGCACAGGATGGTCTGTTCACGTTTTTTCCACATATGGCAGGACTTGATGAATACGATGCAGTGGCCTACTTTGACAATGACATCGAGTTCCAGGGTGACATCACTCCGCTGCTGAAGTGTGCAGCGACAGGCCTGAGATGTTCATTCGTTAGTAATGCATTAGGAGGACCCCCACCCTG